GCTCTACCTGAACTTTAAAACCAACTGTCTGGGAGGGTAAGTGGCACTTCTATTGAGGCTCATGGAGTCAACTGACTTCATGGCTCATTATCACCTCCCCGTTTTCCTGGTAATCTCTCTCCACTCCCCAAGTATTAATGACCCTTTTTCTCTCATAAGTATTGGACCCTTTTTATGTTCCATAATTAACTATCTTTTCTTCTGCAGTTTTGCTGTCTGTTAGCCATTGCTGGTAACGTCTCTTCTATTTCACAGCCCTGCAGATGCCTTTTAGCTCCAGCTAAAAAACTTAACTTGAGTGTAGTAACTAACTCAGGTGTAGAAGTAATTGACAGCGAGGTATAGGGGTGGATCCACTGGTGCATGCCCCCTTTGATTCCTACTCCATCCAAAGTTTAAAACCAACTGCCTGGCCGTGGCAGCAGCTTTTCTGTTCAGGCAGCAGAGAGAGCATCAATTGAATTCATATGCCATTAAAATCTACCCGATTCCTTCTAAACTCTTCATTCTACAGGTGTGAACCACCCTCTCTCCTTTTGAATGATTTTTAATGGTTCCGCTAATCAAGCTATCCTTTGTTCTGCAATCCTGCTGTCGGTTAGCTGTAGCCACTTCTAGTAACGCAGCTCCCACAGACTGCTTTCAACTCTAGCAGGAAACATTAACTCAGGTGTGGAAATAACTTTCAGTGAAGCACTGGATGCATGAAGATGCTCAAGAAGACTTGATTTTGTTTTATGAATCTGAAAGAGAGGCACATATATAATGAATGTCTTTGCTCTTGATGGTCCACCAATCGGGCTGGCCTTTCTTTTGTCGTTTTGGTGTCTCCTGGCCAGTCCTGATAACCTCTCTTCTGCTTCACAGGCCTACTGTCCATTTCTAGTTTCAGCTAAAAGCTTTAACTCAGGTGGGATAACATTAATTTAGGTAAATATTCACTCAGGTGTGGAAACGACCAACAGCAACCTGTAGGCTGCCCTGTGAAAAAGCTGAGGGACGGTAAAGTGCATTTCCGGCGCCCAAAAGAGAGACATATGTTAAACCATAACACCAACAGGGCTAAGAACATGGGTATCTCTGGACTACTTTGGCACAGCCAGTTGCGTTTTTTTAATCTAAGGCGTCATGACTTATAAGGACAGGTTGAGGGAACTGGTTTTATTTAGTCTAGAGAAGACCGAGAGGGGACTTAATATCAATCTTCAAATACCTGAAGGTGGGATCAAAAGAGGATGGAGCTGGACTGCTCTCAGTGGGGACAGATGACAGAACAAGGAGCAATGGGCTCACGTTGCAGCAAGGGAAGTTTAGATTAGATGAGGAAGAATTAGGGGCATCTATACACATATCTTTGTCCGCTCCAACGCCTGGGAAATCCAGCGCATCGAAGCAGACTCAATTAATCGAGTCTGCAGAGCATGTGAGCTGATGTGCCCAGCGCTGCATCGCACCCATTTGTACAAATGGTGAAATATGCATCATTGCTGAGAAAATGACAGCAGCGTGGCTTTTGAACAAAAATACCTCCACCAATGTATTTTAACTCAAAAGAGTGCCACCGCTACTTCCTCAGCACCGACGCACATTTCACCATCTATACAAACGCACGCAGTGCAGGCACCCAGCACTGCGGCACATACAGGCCTTAGGAAGGTAGGGAAGCACTGGAAAGGGCTACCCCAGAGGGCTGGTGGCATCTCCTTCCTTGGAGGCTTTTAAAACCCAAATGAACAATCCCTTAGCTGGGATGAGCTAGTTGGTGTTGGTCCTGCTTGGAGCAGGGGTTGGACTAGCTGTGACCTGCGGTCCCTTCCCACCCTCACTATGAACCAGTGACGTCACATCCATCTTTACTTCACTCTGCAACATCGTAACGTAACGTAATGTAGCCCAACCCCACCCCACCCCCCGGTCAGTAAAGCTTTCAGCTTCTCTGAACCCATAGCAAGGGAACAGGTTCCCCCTTGCACAGCTCTGGGGGAGTGGGTCTTTCCCCCGCGCCCTTACCTCCACTCCCGCCTCCCAGCGCGTCCAATCGCCGCCGCCTCCGGCTCCCACGTGACCGGGACCTAGAGCTCCGCCCCTCTCAGCAGCGGCCACGTGGGGGCGGGTCTCGCCCAGCCAGAACCTCCCTCTGATTGGTTCCCCCGGGCAGCGTCCCCACCCCGCCCCTGGGGGGGGGAGGGGGCGGAGGAAGGAGGAACTCGAGTGTCACGTGACGGCGGCTCCGCGCAATGTGCGGGCTGAGGGGGCGGGGCCTGGCCGGCAGGTCGCTCCCGGCTCGGTCATCAGCTCGTACAGC